TCTAGCAGTGTATCAAAGCAGATTAAGACTCATAACCAAGCCTCTGACAGAATGCAGGGATTCAAAAAAGGGGGGGGGGAGTTAATATTACCTGGAGAGGACAGGAGTTCCACAAGTACCAAATATAACTGGGCACAGGTGTCTTTCATGAGACTGTTTCTCCAAACAAGGACCACGTATGGATGCGACCTAGAGCCCCTGCTCAGATGTAGCCCTTGGTAGCTCAGTATCCAAGTGGGTACCCTAATAAGGGGAACAGGGAATGTCTCTGACATGAACTCGATGGCGAACTCTTTGACATTCCCCCCCGCCCCCAGGGAGGAGCAGCCTTGCTAGGACACAGAGGAGGACTTTGCAGCCAATCCTGAAGACACCTGATAAACCAGTATCAGATGCAAGGGGAGGAGGTTCTCCCTTTTCAGTGGACTTGGAAAAGGGCAGAGAGGAGATGAGGATGGAAGGGTGGTATTGGGAGGGAAAGAGGAAGTGGGATACAGCAGGGATACAAAGTTAACAAACTGTAACTAATATTAAAAAAATAAAATTAAAAAAAGAGTAGTTTTTGGCTCCTGTACTGAGGAGGTTTTTAAGTGGGCACGTGAATTGGCATTGATCTGAGTATGAAGCTTGTGCATTTCCATGGCCAAGTCAGAATTATTCCAAATTCCTCATGCATGAACCTGAATTTGTTCCTATGTAACCTCAGAGCCACTGTAAGGCAGGGGAGTTATATTGAGTTATTTATAATGAGCATGACATAAACTGGTATCCTGTTCTTAATATTTTGTATTTGAGTTCCCATATATTAAATAGGTTCCTAAAAAAGCATTGACTCTGTCTGACTCTATCTTTTCCAGAGTAATCAATACCAAGAAACATCTCTGGATAAATTATTAACATGATGTGCAGTATGGACTTGTTGGGCCGGGTTGTAATAGACACAGACATAGCCCCAACAATATCAATCAATGTCACTTTGTCTGTATAAATATTTTTATACTTATGCCAGGCTCTTACTACACAGATACCTGCTCACCTATGTTCATTACTACTTTATTAACAATGGCACCAAAGTAAAAACAGTCTAGATGCCCAAATGATGAATGGAAAATGAAAATGTGCTGCATATTATCATTGGACTATTATTCACACGACTTTTAAAAATGATACTATAAAATGTATGGACCTGATATAATCATTTTGACTATTATAATCTAGATATAAGAAACAAATATTTTACATTTTCCCTCACGTATGAAGGATAACTTTGATCGTTAGATATGTATGTTTAAGTTAGAGTACCTTACAAAGTCATGGAACTAGTAATGTCACACAGGGGATTTCAAGGGATGGGTGTTAGAAGATAGTTGGTATAAGATTGAATTGGATACATTGGAACAAGATAAATGAAAAGTGGTGGAGGATGGGAAATAAGAATAGAAAAATGGTAGATGAAATGATCATAAATACTAAAGATCCTTGAAATAGCTATATCATGCTGCTAGAGGTTGGAGAGAGGGCTCAGAGGTTGAGAGGACTGGCTGTTCTTCCCAAGGTCCTGAGTTCAATTCCCAACAACCACATGGTGTCTCTCGACCATCTGTGATGAGGTCTGGTGCTGTCTTCTGCTGTGCACATGTCCATGGAGGCAGAGCACTGTGTACATAATAAATAAATCTTAAAAGAAAAAGATGATCTTAAAGAAAAGAAATCTGCTATTGGAAAATAACTTCCTGAAATATACACACATGTATATATAAATGTTGTTAACCTACACCAGAGGGTCAGTGCTTTCTCCAGACAAAACCAGTTTTGCAATAATTAGTTCTGGAAATGTGTTACCTTTTCTGGAGGTGTTGGCCTCCAATGTTTGGAGAGTCTCCTGCACTCTCCAAACATTGCAGACGGTCGCCATAGCTCTTTAACTTGAAGGTAAGATCCTGTGTCTGAAGACACCACATACTGGAGACATAGGATAGAGAGAAAACTAGTTGTTACTGACCTGGTAGATTAATCCTTACTGGTTAACTGCCATATTGCTGGGAGGATATATGAATCCTAACAAGGCAGAAAACTCAACAATTGTGTCATCAAATTTTGGATCCTGCGTGGTACAACAAAGATTGGCCAGGGAAGATTTGTGTAATAGTGGCTTGAATGTTCTGGGTAACTGCCCACCAAATTTACATTTACTTTAAGCCTGATCCTCAAAACAGAATTCATGCCTCCTACTATAAATTGTGAAAAACAAACAAACAAAGAATCAAACAAACAAGAAACAAAATACCCTGCCTACAAGAATTGCATTGATAAGGAGGGAACAAAGATTGAGGAAATATCCAACCAATAATTGGCCCAACCTGAGACCAACCCTACACTACAGAGCCAACCCCAGACACTATTAATGATGCTCTGTATGCTTGAGGACAGAAGCCTGACTTGACTGTAATCTGGGAGGCTCCAGACAGCAGCAGATGGAGACAAATGCTGAGACTTGCAGTAAAGCTCTGGGTGTACTGTGCAAGTGTAGGGGGAAAGATGGAAGGGCAAGGTGTGGACATGAGCCTCACAAGAAGAACAAGAGGTAACTAACCCAGTGTCGTTGGGGATTACAGAGACTGAGACATCAACAAAGGAACATGCATGATTTGAACTTGGCTCCCTGCACATATGTGGCCAAAGGGAGACTTTGTCTTCGTAGGGGGAGCCTAGCTAGTGTTAGGAGGATCTCTTTCTAACATGGACTCTGTTGCCTGCTTTTGGATCACTTCCCCTTGGCTGGCCTCAGGAGATGATATGTTCAGTCCTGATGTCACTTGATGTGCTGGGGAGGGTTGATATTGGGGAGAGAAATCCCCTTTTTCGGGGAGTGAAAGGAAAAAGGAATGGGGAACTAGAGGAAGAGATTGAATGGGAGGTGAAGAGGGAGGAAACACCCTTTGGATGTTAAATAAAGAAACTGAAAAAGAATAAAAAATAAAAAATAAACAAAATAAAATAAAATAACAAAATACGTTTGGATAGGTCATAGGCCCAGAAGAGAATCTGATATGTTATCCTGCTAAGTTAACATACTAAAAAAAGCACCATCCATGTCCTTATTTTTGTGGACATAGATCAGTGTATCTTTTAGCCACCATCAGTTAAATCTCATTTGCAGTAAATGGTAAATAATAAGAGACTCCTAACTGATCAGTGTGCCTGGAATAAGAGATTGTGGAACACTCTGCTTTACTAAGACAAATCTTCCACCCAATACTCACAAATAACCATGAAAGAGGATTGATCTAAATTACATGAGCAATTAGGACAGGAGGAAATGTATTGTGCAGCTTGGAGCAGAAAAAGGCATCAGGACACTTCAAAGTGCAGTCAATCATGTACTGAAAGGGGTGTGTAATTGTTCAAGAGATTAGAACCATGAAAGAGAAGCTTTCTGCTTTGCAGAAAAGCAACTGAAAAGGTGCTCAAGAGTGAGACTCCAGCAAGAAAAACATCCTAAGGGGTTTCTTGGCCCATGAAAATGATTTCCTAGAACAATTTTCATTATCTTCAATGTACAGAAGCTGCTGTAGCTCTGGTCCAATAGTACCAGGGTTCATTGCAAATTGACAGCCAAACATGTCATTGTTTTCCATGAGAAACTAGGGTTAGAGTCATTAATGCTGTAAGAGTCAGGAGATCATGGATTTCCTCCAGGGTTTCACAGATAACAACTGCAATCAGAAAATGTATCTGAAGATCACATCCTAAGAGAAGGTTCAGTGAGGTAACAGGCCTAGTCTGGCTCTCCAACTCCCTTTCACCTTGCAATCATAGGAACTGTCTGTCTGCTGAAAGCCAGATGCCTGCTTCACTGTGGCTAGCAAATCAACATCAACAAAACAGCCTGAAAATTTCTACAAGTGATCAGAACTCTTGATACCCTCTGCCAATCACAGTAGAAAATCAGAACTCTGCAATTTGCACCTGGACTTAAAATGTTTAATCTCCCTGACACACCCTTCTGTTTTTTTCCCAGTTGCAGTTGAAGTCAGAAACTGATGGGAAGTAAAAACCACCTGATGCTAGATGTGGGTGAGTAGGGCAGAGTCCTAAATGTTATCTGAGCTCCTGCTGTTTCCATGGTCAAAGAACTGAGGTATCTTTGTAAGGAATTTTACTGTAATGCCATATTCTTCTTGTCTGTCTTTCTCTCTCTCTGTATCTCTCTCTCTCTCTCTCTCTCTCTCTCTCTCTCTCTGTGTGTGTGTGTGTGTGTCTCTCTATAGATTATTTTAATATGGAGAGTGATCTTAACTGTACCTCTGGCTTCCTGTAGGTTCACTTTGACCTCATGGTTCTTCCACTTGAGCATCTCATGCTGGGCTTTCAGCAGTACCCCACCATGTCTGGCTTACTTTCCTTTTAGAGGTGCTTACCTTCAGTGCTGTGTGACCTGACATTTGAGATCTCTCCAGTGTTGCTTCTCTCTAGTTTGCTCACTGTTAGGTTTGTAAAACAAAAATCAAAACAAAAACATCGGGTATATATATCAGATTTATGAATTTTGGAAACACGTCTCTTATGAATTTTTATCCTTAATTTTATTTGTCTGTATTATAGGCTTTAGCCTTTAGGCTGATTTTTTTTTTCATTGCTTGTCACTATTTTCAGTAAAATAGCACCAGAAAATGGATTTTTATCTTTCTTGTTCTATTCTGACTGTCCCACTAAGATGTGTTTCTCTGAGATTAAAGAACTTGCTATTCTCATAATGTTTCTGTTCTTGATGCAATGTGTCAATAGATATATCATGACACATTCTGTTTCACAAAGACACACAATTGCACAACCTGTTACCACAGTGGCCTGAACTTGGAACGTCATCTTCAGTGAGTGTTGCTGTATTGCCCTCTTACCTGGAACAATTTGCCTTCTACCTTTGTCTTACTTTTTAGCAGTTGATATATGATGTGCAATTTGACTATCCACACAGAGAAGTTTGGACACCATTTATCATGGGATACAAAATTCTGTGCTTTGGAATCTTTTGTGTCATCTTTGCTTATTATATTTATACACCCATACCAGAAAACATTGAAGAATGCTGGAGAGTGAGGATGATAGACGCTGTTGTGAAAACGACTTCACTTGTGGTAATATTTTTTTCTCCCTTTTGAAATTGGAAAACCTTGTGACCAATATATGTGAAATTTCCTTTAGTGAGTACTTTGAAAGAGAGTTTGCTTTTCTTTAGTGCTATATCCACCAAGTAATATTATAGTTCATGTAGTTAACTTTGTAGTTAATCATTAATATAACTTTATGACTTTATTATCTATTGAAGGACACACAGTGTTTGTAAGATGCTATTTCTAAAGTTAATTATATATTGACAACACGAAAGAACCAACATTCCTAATGAATGCTTGAGTAATTGTTCATATGCTTAAATATAGTTGATATTTTTCACAAAACATAAGCGCATACATTTGCTTAATCTTATGTGAACAATTTATTCATATTATAAAATTTCAGAGTACATTTAACCTTCCACTATTTTAGAACCTTTTTTTTTCCTCTTGAAGTAGTTTCTAACTTCTGATACTTAAATCAGTGTATTCTTGCTTGCCAGAATCTGGTGTACATTCATCTATATTTCTGTGTTAATAATTAACTCAATGGTAATAATAATTTCATTACAATATTATACAAGTGTTATGGTATTCATATAAATTTTATCTTAATAATCAGAAAATTGTCATGATAGTGGCATTTATTTTTCCTGTCCTTTTATAACTATAATAATTTAGAGCTGGCAGTCCTCTCTGCTTTGGCATGAGTTTGTTGTGCTATCCCATCTGTGAAATCCACTGGAAGGCTACATTGTGAACTCTTTTTTGAGCACACTGTGTGCTGTATTGTCTTCTTGTCATCTCTCAGGCCCACATAGCTTTATGACCACATCTTGGCACCTACTGCTGTTCCTGCCTGTCTTTAGGTCCCATGTTGTTAAGATTCAGATTTTATAACGACAGCACTCAAGATACAGCATGTTCTCTTTTACTGAAATGTGCTTCTGTCTGGAAGGTTCATGGCTATTGTGACAATAGGAAGGTTCTATTTAAAATCTTGGAAGTTTCCAGCTGTTAGTTCTGCTGTAGCCTTTCATCACTTTTCTCCAGGTAGATAAATGACAAGTTGTTAGTCTTAAACATTTATTTTTTTAGCTTCTATTACTGTTTTTATTTTAGATTGTATATTTTATTTTGATAAATTTTCAAATTCAATGAATCTTTCTTTGTCATATTTTTTCAATTAAAGTTTATTAATGCATATTGTATTTTGGATAATTTCATAGTTTTGTTTTAACTTTTTCATTGAATCATTCTTAATACACTTCTTTTCTTAAGAACATCTGTTATTTAATTTGTTCCCAAATGATCCATCTTTACCTTATAGAACATGATTATAGTAGTTGTTTTTAAAGCATTGACTTCAGAGTTAGACAATCTCATTTAACATTTTTTATTTTGTTTCCCTCAGTGAGATAATCTCATTTGCTTTTCTGGGGGCGGGGGGAGCAGATAATTATGGTTTGTATCGTGGGTATTCTGAGTATCGTGGTGTGGTAGTTTGGTTGAGAGTGTCTGCTATATGCTTACATCATATATTTTAATCCTTGAGTCCCAGTCATTGGAAAGAATTCCCAGTCATTTGGGAAGAGTTTGGAGGATCTGGGTCAGTGGGCACCAGTTTTCAGGTTTCAAGAGACTTGTGATACACAATGCTTTCTCTCTCTGCCTCATGGTTTTGTATTACAATCTAAGCTTGCAAACTATCTTTGTTTTAATATCATGTACTCTAATCCCCTGAAATTACAAGTGCTTACTTTTATAAGTTGCCTTGATGGCAGTGTTTTATCGCACCAATAAAAAAGTAAGTAAGACACTTTGAGGTTTTTAAAATTTCTAATAAGTCTATAGACTATTTTTGTCACTGCTTTGTTTTGAGAGTCTATCAGTCAGGTTATAAGGAGACTAAAACAAACAACATATTTATATTTGTTAAAGATATTCAAGAAGATTACTAGATAATTATTTTAAAAATTAATTATATCCACTTTCTAGAAATTAGTTCTAACAATTGTCATTATTTTTGATTCTGTATTCAAAATCCCAGAAGAAGTCTAAAATTAACTTGGGAATGCATCTGATTTAGGATTAAAACACTGTTGTCAGCAAACAGATATTCATAGATACTAAGCTTATCAAAAGAAGAATTATCTATACTTCTATCCTGAGACATTCATATTAATACATGTTTTTATAATATTCTAGTAACAAATATCTATATAGTTACTTTAGTTGAACTAGTAGTTACATGTTAGAAAACTGGTTAGAAATAACCAGTAAGAGATACTCCAGCTATAGAAATAAAGAGTATTTTATGGAAAAGATAAGTTACATCTTTGTAGTTTAAAAATAGAAACTTAGACTATTAATAATATAGTAATTAAGTAATTATATTTTGATACTGAAATGGGTTGAAGGCTAGGCAGATAGTGTAATGAATAAAGCATTTGTTGTACATGCAAAAAGCATGAGTTTGGAAGTCTATTTCCACATACAATTAAATAGAGTGGTATTCATTTATGACCCTGTGGCTCCCGCTGTGGCCTGGGCAGATGAGATGAAAGAATCCTGGAAGTTCATGGGCTAGAAGGACTAGCATATGTAGTGGCAAAGAAGAGCAGACCCTAACCGAAACAATAAGGAAACTCATAACCAACATCTGAAAGTATCTTCTGGCTTCCATAGAAACATGATACCTACATGCCTGCACACACACCACACACATACACATAAAGTTAAACTTCAAAAGTTGAAACTAAATTTAGTAAATAAATAAAATGTTGTAAACATGAGTACAAAGAACGGGAGCATAAAATGTTATTTCCTGATTGTATTTTTAGATAAAATTTACAATTAAGAAGACCCTAGCCCAATGAAAAGTACAAGAAGAAAATTTTATGGTATCAAATGAGATTATTTCTGTGGCCTAGTAAGGCTGCTCCCCCCTCAGAGGGAGGTGATCAAAGAGCCAGCCACTGAGTTCTTGTCACAGATAGTCCCTATTCTGATTACTAGTGGACCCACTTGGATAGAGCTGCCAAGGGCTACATCTGTGCAGCTACATCTGTGTTATCTCCATGCATGGTCCTTGGTTGGAGTATCAGTCTTAGAAAAGACTCCTGGGCCCAGATTTCTTGGTTCTGTTGGTCTCCTAGTAGAGCTCCTGTCCACTTAAGGTCTTTCTCTCTCCCCCTTTCAAAAGATTCCCTGTACTCTGCCCAAAGTTTGTGTATGGGCCTCAGCATCTTCTTTGACACACTGCAGAGTAGAGTCTTTCAGAGGCCCTCTGTTTTAGGCTCCTGTCCTATTCCCTCTTTTCTCCTTCTTCCAAAGTCAATCCCTTTTGCTTTTCTGAATGAGGATTGAGCATCTTACCCCAGGTCCTTTTTCTTGATTAGCTTCTTTTTAGGTGTATGGACTTTAGTAAGATTTTCCTATTTTATATGTCTAATATCCACTTAAGTGTGTATATACCAAGTGTGTCTTTCTGCTTCTGGGGTTCCTCATTAAGTATGATCTTTTCTATTCCTACCATTTGCCTGCAAATTTCATGATTTCCTTATTTTTAATTACTGAGTAGGATTCCATTGTGTAAATGTACCACAATTTCTCTATCCATTCCTGAGTTGAGGGGCATCTGGGTTGTTTCCAGGTTCTTGCTATTACAAACAAAGCTGTTATGCACATGGTTGAGCAAACATCCTTGTTGTGTACTTGAGCATCTTTTGGAGTGGTATAGCTGGATCTTGAGGAACCACCATTCCTAATTGTCTGAGAAAGCACCAGAGTGCATTCCAATGTGTTTGTACAAGTTTACATTCCCACCAGCAACGGAGAATGGTTCCCCCTTCTCCACATCCTCTCTAGCATATATTGTCGCTTGAGTTTTTGATTTTAGCCATTTTGATGGATGTAAGGTGAAATCTCAGTGTCATTTTGATTTGCATTTTCCTGAAAACTAAGGATGTTAAACATTTCTTTAAGTGTTTCTCTGCTATTTGGCATTCCTCTATAGAGAATTCTCTGTTTAGCTCTGTACCTCATTTTTAAATTTGATTACTTGATTTGTTGCTGTTTAACTTCTAGAGGCCTCTACATATTCTGGATATTAGCCCTTTGTCAGTATAGGGTTGGAAAAGATCCTTTACCAGTCTATAGGCTGTTATTTTGTTCTGACTACAGTGTCCTTTTCTTTACAGAAGCATTTCAGTTTCATGAAGTCCCATTAATTCCTTGTTGATCTTAGAGCCTGTGATGTTGGTGTTCTGTTCAGGAATTTGTCCCCAGTACCAATGATTTCAAGGCTCTTCCCCACTTTTTTTCTAACAGATTTAGTGTCTGGTTTTATGTTGAGGTATTTGACCCACTTGGACTTTATTTTTGTGCAGGGTGATAAAATAATATTTTTGTTGTTTTGAAAAGATGAAGAGTCTTGCTCCAGAAATGACTAGCCTGCCTGGGACACAGACAGCAAACCCAGGAAATGTAAGCTGTGCTTGGCTCTCAAGCCCCATTGTCTACCATTCTGAGGAGGCCTATGAGTGCCAGCACAGTGTTTTCAGCTTGGAGCTTTCTCTTCCTGCTCCCAATATGCCTACCTTGCACACAGAAAGTGAATCCAATGGAGGCACCCCAAAGCCAGCTAACAACAGAGATAACCAGATGTGTAGTGGTCAGCTTAAGAACACAACCAATAAAACTCAGGGCCATATGACACCACTGAAAACAAGCAGTCCTACCACAGAATGCACTGGAGATACTATCACATCAGAAGTGCAAGATAAAGATTTTAAATCTGACATTATAAAAATGTTAGAGGTCTTAATGGAGGAAAATAAAATCTGACAAAGAAATATAGGACAATGAAATTAAACAGGTAAATGAAGTAAATAAATCCCTAATGGAAACATAGGAAAACACAATCAAACAAGAGAAAGAAATGACTAAAACTGTTTAAGACCTAAAACTGGAACTAATAGAAAAAGTTTGCACACACACACACACACTATCTGAAGCAATCCTGGAAATGGTAAACCTAAAAAAGAAAACAGGAAGTAAAGACACAAGCATCAGCAAATGAATATAAGGGATGCAAGAGAGAATCTCAGGTGTAGAAGATACCATTGAAGAAATCTATACACCAGTTAAAGAATGAGTTACATCCAAAATGTTCCTGACAGATAAAACATTGAAGAAATCTGGGACACTATGAAAAGACCAAGCCTCTTGAATAATAGGAATAGAAGAAGACTCTCACTACAAGACCAATAAAACATTTTCAACAAAATCATAGAAGAAAATGCCCCCATCTAAAGAAAGATTCTCTATAAACATACAAAAAGCTTACAGAATAGCGAATAGATTGGACCAGAGAGGAAAATCATCCTGCTACATAATAATGAAGAGAGCAAACAAACAGAACAAAGAGAGAATATTAAAAGCTGCAAGGAAAAAAAAAACCAAGTCACACATAAAGGCAAACCTATTCAAATTACACCTAACTTCTCATCAGAAACTCTAAAATCCAAAAGGGCCTGGATAATTATCTTACAGACAGTAAGAGATCACAGATGCCAGCCCTGACTACTATAGGTTTAAACAACATACAGGGAGAAAAGCAGATATTCCATACAAATGCAAATTTAAACTGTAATGATCTACAAATCCAGCCATACAGAAGATACTAGAAGGAAAGCTCTATCCCAAGGAGACCAACTACACCCAGGAAAACACAGGAAGTAACTTCGCATATGCAAAATGAAAAGAAGGAAAGCACACATATACTCTACCACCACCAACATCAAAGTAATTGTAAGTAACAAACACTGGCAATTAATATCAAAAACTATACTATGATTTAACTGAAATTATTCAGTAATGTCTTAGATAACTTACCAAAAAAGCTAAAGAGTATTTTTCCTTCAAGTTTTTCTTCAAGTGATTTTAAGAAAAAGAAACTGTTTTGTAGATGCAAATGGGAACATGAAATATTATTATTACAGAGTAACTTATGGCATTTTAAAACATCTAAATGAAACTAGAAACAATGCAGACAGCATAGTGGGTAAAACCCTTGTTGATCAGGCATGACGATCTGCGCTCTGCCTCCAGAATTCAGAGACAGCAGAATACAGTAGCATGCATCTCTGCCAGTGGGAGAGGAAATGAAGACAGGAGAATCTCAAGCCCCAGGGTTAGAAACATCGGAATACACAGTAGGAACGATTGAAGCTGACTTGAACAAGGTTAAAAGCTGAGGACCAACACTGCAGTTTATACCTGACTTCCATAAGCACATATGGTTGACATGTTTACAAGCATGCGTGCACACACGCACACACACACACCAATGTTCAACACCAAAATGAATGGCCAGTCAACGAGAGAAGATGAAAATATTTGAACATAGGATGTCACTTCATATAATTTCTATCACTGAGTACTTAATATTTTTATTTTTTATTTAATTTTTTAATATCTAATATTTTAGAATTATTTATTTAATTATTTATTTGTATTTACTGCTTTTCCTTTTAAATTAGTTATTTGGAATTGTATATAATGACTTCTGACCATATTTACCCCTTCTACAACTCCTCCCACATTCACCCATGTTTCCTTATAAATATTTGTGCATTTCTTCTTTTCCCACACTAATCTATTCCAATCTGCACTTGCCATATATGATTCCTTCAGCATGTGAACATTCACTGGATATGCCAAGAGATACATGCTTAATTAAAACAGACTGGTTGTATTGTCTTCCTCTGTGGCCTGGCAAGGCTGCACCCTCCAGGGAAAGGTGATCAGAGAGCCTGTCACTGAGTTCTAGGGGAGGGGCATATGGAAAGAAGAGGGAGGGTGGGTGGTATTGGGAGGAGACGAGGGAGGGGGCCACAGCCTGGATACAAATTTAATAAGTTGTAATAAATGATAATAAAATATAAAAACATTTGCAAAAAAGAAAATTGACTCTCCTTGTCCCACCAGCCATACATTGTCAGTAGATCCTCAGCTAGGGATGGCATTTTGTGACCAACTTCTTTCTACATGGCAGGCATTGCTCTTGTTTGGACTTGCACAGATCTTGTTGCTGCTGTCACAACCACTGAGTTGATAGTGTCAGCTGTGAGCATCTGTCATGTGTGTCAGGAGGATACTGCTTCTTTGTATTCATTCAATATCTCTGGCCTATGTAGCCTCTCAGTCTACTTTTCTGAAGTGATCTCTGAGCTTTGGCAGTATAGATGTTTCATTTAGAATTGGGTATTCAGTAGTCTCTTATTCCACACCTTGGTCCATTTTGCATCTGTGTGTTAATCACAATCTACTACAAACAGAAGCTTCTCTGGTGAGGATTGAGAGATGCCTTAATCTATGGCTATAACAATGAGTCAATAGGAGTCAGTTTAATACTGTGTGTACATTTAATAGAGTGGCATAGTAGTTTCTCCTTTTATTGCATATGACCCACTTATTCAAAGATTCCTGACCAAACAGTGGTGCCAAGTATGAGCTTTGTCTTCTGGAATGAGACTTAAATCCAATAAGAATGTCATTGTTTTCTCCCATAATGTTCAAATCTCTGTTGAAACAATGGGTGAGTCTTGGTAGTCCAGTAGTGATTGTAAATCATAGCTTTCACAGGTGGGCAAGATTAGCTTTTACTTTCTTCCTCTGGTAATATGCATAGCAACTTCCAACTTATAAAAGGTAGCAAATATAGATGAAGTTTCTAGGTCAAAACCAGACTAATATCTCCAATAATTTATTTGTTTGACAGTTTTATGCATTTACTTGATGAATTCCCTTTCTGTGCCTACTAGAATCCATTTTCTCTGCAATTAGGGCTTCGTTTCTTCATTCTTTTGTGCAATCCAGTGATCTAAAGAGTTTCTTTCTTGAACATTGGAAGAAGATCATTTACCACAGAAAGTGTAACACATTAACAGCTATGAAAAAAAAAGACTATTCCTTCCTCATCAATCAATAACTACCAATATTTTCTCATGAAGGGATGGGAATATCCATGATGAATTGTTGACAGAAACAATTTTGTTTATATCTAAATCAGATATCCACATTGAGATTTTCATCCTACCAAAATGTTAAGATATAGAAATTTAGAGTATTATAACATTGTATATTTTATTATCATTCAGTCTTTTATATTTTAGTTTCCACTAAATTTCATGATTTCCTTGTTTTAATTGCGGAGTAGTATTCCATTGTGTAAATGTACCTACCATTCAGGGTATCAAAGCAGATGCTGAGACTCATAGGCAAACTTTGAATCCCATGAAAGAACAGAGAGATAGAGAGACCTGGAGGGGACAGTAGCTTCAAAAGGAGACCAACAGAACCAAAAATCTGGGCACAGAGGTCTTTTCTGAGACTGGTACTCCAACCAAGGAACATGCACGGATATAAATTAGAACCTCTGTACAGATGTAGCACATAGTAGCTCATTGTCTAACTGAGTTCCCTAGTAATCAGAAAAGAAATTGTCTTAGACAAAATCTCAGTGGATGACTCTTTGATCACCTCTTCCTGAGAGGGCAAGCAGCCTTTCCAGGCCACAGAGGAAGACAATGCATTTAATACCAATGAGACGTGATAGACTACATCAGATGCAAGGGGAGGAGGACTTCCTCTATCAGTGGACTTGGGAAGGAGTATGGGAGGAGTAGGGAGAGGAAGTGTAGGTGTGGCAGGTGACCAGGGAGTGGACTACAGCTGGGATACAAAGTGAATAAAATGTAATTAATAAAAAAATAAATAAATTAATACAAAAATAAAAATGTATAATGTTTCAAATTTTCTTTTTTTTTTCATAGGGCACATTATTTGAAGAAATAGGTCTCATGAAGTATGAAGACACATTTTTAACTTTATCATCACTTCACCTTTCAAAACCAGTTTCAGATGAAAACGTAACAGTGATTGACACAAACTTTAGTGACATTCCTGTTCGTCTGTACTTGCCAAAAAAGAAGTCTGAAATATTGAGACCAGCTATCATTTACTTGCATGGTGGTGCATTTGTCTTCGGAAGTTGCAGTAAGTGTATTTTTTATATGTATGTTATTCATGTATTCATATTGAAATAATTGAAGTGTATTGATGACAGAGTTGTGGACAAAGCATTGGAATATTTTGTTTGTTGGTTTTCAGTTTCTTGAGTCCTTTGTATGTTTTGGATATTAGCCCCTTGTCAGATGTAGGATTGGGGAAGATCGTTTCCCTGTCTGCAGACTGCCATTTTGTTCTATTGACTGTCTTTTGCCTTACAGAAGCTTTTTGGTTTCAAGAGGTTCCATTTATTAATGGTAGATCTTAGAGTTTGAACTGTTTTTGTTCTTTTCAGGAAGTTTTTCCTGCGCTAATGAGTTGAAGGCTCTTCCCCACTTTCTCTTTTAGTAGATTTAGTGTATCTGGTTTTAATGTTGAGGTCTTTGATCCACTTGGACTTGAGTTTTGTGCAGGGTGATGAATATGGTTTTATTTGTATTTTTCTTTTTGTAAAGTTATTATTATTATTTATAATTTATTCTCTTTGTATTCCAGTTGTAGCCCCCTCCGTCATCCCCTCACTGTCCCAATCTCCTTTCCTCTTCTTCCCCAATCCCTCTTCCCTAGTCCACTGATAGGCGCAATGAACCTCCTCTAATGTCTGACACTAGCCTATCAGGTCTCATCTGGACTGCCTGGATCCTCTTCCTTTCTGGGCTGGCTAGGTAGCCCCACTAGAAAGAAGTGGTCAAGGAGCAGGCAATAGGCTTCATGTCAAAGACTGTCTTTTTTCCTCTTTCTAGGGAACCTACAGGGAGACTGAGCTGTCTATGGCCTACACTTGATCAGGGAGTCTAGGTCTTTTCTATGAGTTGTCTTTGGTTAATGCATTACTCTCTATAGTGCCCTTGGGGCTAAAGAGGCTAAACAAGAAGGAGGATCCTAGAGAAGATGCTTATTCTCATTTGCAAGGGAAAATAGGATAGACACCAAAAGCAGTAGAAGAGAGGAAACAGGACTGGAGCCTACCACAGATGTCCTCCAAGAAACTCCACTCAGGAGGGGATCAAAGCAGATGTAGAGCCTCACAGCCAAACTTTGGACAGAGCATAGGGAGTCTTATGGAAGAAGGGGATATAAAAAGACCTGGAGGGAACAAGAGGCACACTAGGAGACCAATGAAACTATTTGTATTTTTCTACATGTAGACATCTGCTTAGACCTAGCCTATCAGGTGTCATCAGGACTGTCTGCACAACCTTCCTCTGTGTCCTAGTAAGGCTACCTCCTCTCCTCAGGGGGAGGTGATCAAAGAGCCAGCAACTAAGTGCTTGTCAGATACAGCCCCTGTTCCCCTTACTAGGAGGCACATTTGGAGACTGAGCTGCTGTGGGCTACCTCTGTGTAGGGGCTCTAGGTTATCTCCATGCATGGTCCTTGGTTTGATTATCAGTCTCAAAAGACCTCTGGGCCCAGGTTTTTTGTTTCTTTGTTTGTTTGTTTGTTTTGTTTTGGTTGTTGTTGTTGTTCTGTTGCTCTCCTTGTGGACTTCCTGTCCTCTCCCTGTTTTCTATTTCCCCATTCTTTCATTAGATTCCCTGTTTCTGCTCAAAGTTTTGCTATGATTCACAGCATCTGCTTTAATGCTCTTCTGGGTAGTATCTTTCAGAGGCCCTCTGTGGCAGGCTCCTGTCTTTTTCCTTTTTTAGAAACCTCTTACAATATCTATCCCATTTGCCTTTCTTAATGAGGATTGAGCATCTTACCCAGGATCCCCCTTCTTACTTAGCTTTTTTGGGTATATAGATTTTAGTACAATTATCCTATATTATATGTCTAATATCCACTTAAAAGTGAGTAAATCCCATGTGTGTGCGTTTTCTGGGATGATTTTTTTTTTAATACCCACCATTTTTCTTGCAATTTTCATAATTTTCGTGTTTTTTATTTCTATGTTTTTCTTTTTTTCCCATTATTAATTACATTTTATTCACTTTGTATCCCCTCCCCGTGGTTCCCTCCCTCCTCCCATCCCAAACCCTCCCTTTCTGCACCCTCTGCATGCATGCCCCTCCCCAAGTCCACTGATAGGGGAGGACTTCTTTTCCTTCCTTCTGATCCTAGTCAATTAGGTCATCAGGAGTGGCTGCATTGTCATCTTCTGTGGCCTGGTAATGCTGCTTCCCCCTCAGTGGGAGGAAATTAAAGAGCAGGCCAATCAGTTCATGTCAGAGACAGTCCTTGTTCCTATTACAATAGAATCCACTCGGATACTGAACTGCCATGGGCTATATCTGTGCAGGGGTCTTAGGTTATCTCCATGCATAGTCGTTGGTTGGAGTATCAGTCTCAGGAAAGACCCCTGTGTTCAGATTTTTTGGGTCTGTTGCTCTCCTTGTGGAGTTCCTGTCCTCTCCAGATCTTACTGTTTCCCACTTCTTTCCCAAGATTCCCTGCACTCTGCCCAAAGAATGCCCATAAGTCTCAGCATTTACATTGATAGTCTGCAGGGCAGAGCTTTTCAGAGGCCCTCTGTGTCAGGCTCCTGACTTGTTCCTGCTTTTTTCCTTCTTCTGATGTCCAGCCTCTTTGCCTTCCTGGATAGGAATTGAGCATTTATCAAGAGTCCTCCCTCTTGATTAATTTCTTTAGGGGTACAGATTTTAGTAGGTTTATCCTATATTATATGTCTATATTAGTGAGTATATACCATGTGCATCTTTCTGCTTCTGGAATAGCTCACTCAGGATGATCTTTTCCAGATCCCACCATTTACCTGAAAATTTCATGATTTCCTTGTTTTTTATTGCTGAATAATATTCCATTGTGTAGATATACCACAATTTGTGCATTCATTCCTCCACTGAGGGGCATCTGGCCTGTTTCCAGTTTCTGGCTACTACAAATAAGGCTGCTACAAACATGGTTGAACAAACCAGACACTCTAAACTGCTTAGAAGAAAAAGTGGGGAAGAGCCTTGAACTCATTGGCACAGAAGACTACTTCCTGAACAGAACACCAACAGCACAGGCTCTAAGAGCAACAATAAATGAATGGGACTTCATGAAACTGAAAAGCTTCTGTAAACAAAGGACACTGTCATCAGAACAAAACGACAGCCTACAGATTGGAAAGGATCTTCCACAACCCTATATCTGATAGAGGACTAATATCCAGTATATATAAAGAACTTAAGAAGTTAAACAGCAACAAATCAAGTAATCCAATTAAAAGAAATGGAGTACAGAGCTAAACAGAAAATTCTCAATAGAGAAATATTGAATGACAGAGAAACCCTTAAAGAAATGCACAACCTCATTGGGCATTAGGGAAATGCAAATCAAAACGTCCTTAAGATTTCACCTTACTTCCATCAGAATGGTTAAGATCAAATACTCAAGAGACAACACATGCTGGAGAGGTTGTGGAAAAAGGGGACCCCTCCTCCCTGCTGGTGGGAATGTAAACTTGTACAATCACTCTGGAAAGCAATCTGGCGCTTTCTGAGACAACTAGGAATAGCACTTCCTCAATATCCAGCCATATGCATATACTTAAAAGAGTCTCAAGCACACAATAAGGGCGTTTATTTTTGTTATTCTTATGTTTTGTCTGTTGATGTTGTCTTGGATTCCTCGGATGGTTTGTGTCAGGAATTTTTTAGATTTAACATTTTCTTTGACGGATACATCGATCTCTTTTGTGTATCTTCCACACCTGAGATTATTTTTGTCCACCTCCTGTAGTTTGTTGGATATGCTAATCTGTGTAGTTCCTGTTTTCTTCCCTAAGTTATTCCTCTCCATGATTTCTTTTTTTGGTGTTCTCTTTAATTTTTTACCATTCTATCTTCAGATCTTGAATTTTTTTTTTTTTTATTTCCTTCACCTGTCTGACTGTGTTGTCCAGGTTTTCCTTCAATTCCTTCAGCTGTTTGAACATTTCTCTGTTTCTTTTATTTCTTTCAGTGATTTAATTATTTCCTTTTTGAAGGACTTAAACTGTTTGGCTATATCTTCCTGTATTTTATTATGGATGATCATTCTTTCTTTGACTTTATCTTCCTCTATTTCTTCACAGATGCCCCCAATCTGCTTGACTTTATCTTCCTGTATTTATTTAACGGTGGCCAAAATCTGTTTTTCTTCCTCTTTTTTTATGCATTTAATGTTTTCCTTCATTATCCTCTCCATACACTTAAAAGTAAGGTCATCTTGAATTTCACTTATGATAGGGTGTCCAAGGCTACTTGTCCCTGGATAATTGGGTTCTGGAGATTCCATATTGCTTTGGCTTTTGTTGGTTGTACTTTTATGCTGGCCTCTACCCATCTGGCTGTCTCAGGTTTGGCTGTTATTTTCTGGCACCTGCTGGAAACCAGGGCTGAGGAGAATCACCTTGGTAGGGAGATGGTTTTTCCTAAAAGTGACCTCCTCAGCTTTTTGGGTATGGTCACTGAATGGCCAGTGCTGCTCCGGAATTGCTACAGCTCACCTCAGGCCTATGAACCTCTGAGGTAATTGTGATCTTTGATAGTCAGGGGTATGTTTTCCTCTCACCAGAAGTCTTGAATTTTCGTTTATTAATATAATCATGTGAATACACTAATTCTAATGAATATGAAGGTGATGGAGAGAAAAGTGAGATTGCTCAATTGAGATGTGTATCTCTATCATAGAATGAGGACACCTGCAAAGCAAATGACAAACCAATACACTACTACTTAGTCTTATGAATCAACTTAAAAACTTTAGTAAGCATCTTTGGTATGCTTTAAACTTATCTGTGTTTATATTCTTGGACACATGAGTGCTTGTGTGGTCTGTATATGTGTTTGCTTATATGTATGTGTGTGCATGTGTGTGTGTAAGTTTGTATGCATGTGTGTATGGGTATGTGTGTATACACATGTATTTGTATTTCAAATTATTCAAACATATTTAAATTCACTCTCATATTTTCTGAATTTGACATATCTGGGTAATCCTATTAGTGAAGTTGAATTGCTTTTTAGTCACCAAGTGCACTAAGGGCCACTGAAACATACAGACTTCACACCTTCTGTCCCACTCCTCTCTTCTTACCTCCAGTACATGAAACCCTTAAGCAGAATCTACTCCTCACTTTAAGAGAGAGATCACCAGTGAGCTTGAGGTTAATTGGTGAGGCTTATGATTCAAAGGTCATGAAATACATCAGTGTATCTTCTGTAGAGAGTGAGATATTTACTTGCATAATCTTAACAAGCACTTTCTAGAGTGTTCACTTTGTTTCTTTAGGATAAGTCATTGAACCTAGAATTCCCTTATTTGACTAGTCTTAGCTGGCCGGCTTTTCTTGTCTGTTGAGTACAGGTGTTATGATTTATTTCTCATGCCCTTCATACGTTTACATGTCTACTGGGTATTTGAATTCCTGCTCTTATGCGATTGAGTGCATTCCCCACCGAGTTACCTCACTCAGAGTTATTTCTTTTTATTCTTTCTTCTTTTAATTCTTCCTCTTCTCCTATTTGCTCTATTTAAGTCTTCTAATGAAGAGTATCACTGCATCGTGCCAGACAGTTTAGAAAGTACATTCACCTTTTAACCAGGTGACCATTGCTTTGTTCTTTGCAGCCACTATTGCCTTGTGATAACATTCCAGTCTCATCTCTTCCTAATTTTTTCATGAAATTTACAAGTTACAGAAATACTGAGTACCTTCTCGTTTTACCTACCTAGATAATGATATTTCCATTATTAAGTTTGTGTATATGGAATGAAATTTTTTTCAAATATTGAAATAATCTTGTATTCTATACCTAGCATTAATCTAAACTGGAAATTATGATTTTTCTTGTTGTCCACTTGAGCTTGGTATGCATTTAATTCAAAAATTTAAATATATTTTTATAGGTAAAACTTATTTGTGTTTATATGCTTGGACACATGAGTGCTTGTGTGTTTGTATGTGTGTGTGCTTATATGTATGTGTGTGCATGTGTGGGCATTTGTGTGCATGTGTTTATAGATGTGTACACATGTATATGTGTAGAGGTGTGTGTGTGTGAATGTGTGTGTACCTGTAGATGTGTGCATCTGTGTGTGGACATGTGCTTTTGCATGTGGGAGTGAGTGTATATGTGTGAGGAGGTATGTGTGTGTGGAGGTGTGTGTGTGTGTGTGTATGTGAGTATGTAGTATGTGTAAGTATGTATGTATGCTCATGTGGAGGTGTGTTTTTGTGAGTGTGTTCCTGTGAGTGTATATGTGTGTTTTTGCGTGCACGTATGTGCGTGTATTTGTGTGTGTCTCTGTGTTGTGTACAGTTGTGTGTGTGTGCTGGATTTATGGCGTTAGTATGGAAATGCTGTTTCCCTTTTATATTTCTATCACTGTTCTTAGACTTAGCTTTGTTTCCATAACTTGATAATCCACCAAGCACACTTTTGTTTTTGTCTATTTCATTTCAGAGATGCAGCCCTATGATGATCTGAACCGATGGACAGCAAACAAACTTGATGCTGTTGTTGTGGGAATAGAGTAAGAGAATGACAATTCTCATGCTATGGTCATAGCCCTCCCAGACTAGGCTTGATTTACAAAGCAAGTCACCTGAGCCTCAGTCATGGCTGGATCCCTGTTCTGAGCTTAAATTTAATTTTTTTCTCACCTAGAAAGTGCAGCCACTACAGTCTTAGGATGTGTTTAACTTGAGCTACTAATAAAAACGCTGTAGTTTAGATTTACTCACAGACTTACTAATGTTAGAAGAACAATGTTGGAACTTTCAAGTGTTCCTCAATAATACTTCTTCATATATCATGACTTTGACCCAAATTTCCATCATATACCAAGGATGGGAAGATACATGTTACATTAACCTTTACTGGATGTGTTCTATATTTATGAAACCTTCATCATGAGGGTGAATGTTTCCGGTCAACTCCATAGTGCAGAGTGGATTTACAGAATTGTGGACTGACCTGAATACACTGAAAGGAAACTCTTCACTGCAAGTGTAATAGAATCAAGTAAATATACTGGAAGGGTCAGTGCTGTCCTTGTAATCAATCCTTGAAGCAACTAGAATAATTACATATATTTTCAGAAATATCTGACTTACAATCTTAAGGATGGTCTGCCTTTCCTGTTGTAATGTCACTATATTTGCCACATTATTATTTTATAGAAGATTTTGAAATGGTGTGTTATCTTACATTTACTTTAATAATTGTATATTTCTTTAGGTACTTGTCATTATTTACCTTGGCATGTGTTCATATTTTTAAATTATATATATATATTTAAAATATGTAATTTATATTTTTTAATTTTAAACTTTTGGACAGTATTTGAAATATAAACACCCACAAGGAATCTAGAAATTATCATCCTGAATGAGGTATCCCAGAAACAGAAAGACACACATGGTGTATACTCACTTATAAGTGTATATTAAACATATAATATAGGATAATCATACTCAAGTCTGTACACCTCAGGAAGCTAATCAAGTAAGATCCTGGTAAGATGCTCAATCTTCATTCAGAAAGGCAAATGAGATGGACATCAGAAGAGGGTAAAAACAGGGAACAGGTAAAAGGCCTATTACAGAGGTCCTCTGTAAGACTCTACCCAGCTGGCTCTCAAAACATATGCTGAGATTCATAGCCAAACTTTTTTCAGAGTGCAGGGAATCTTATGAAAGAGGGGATGATATATATGGAAGGAACAGGAGCTCCACAAGGAGAGCAAAATAACAACAAAAACAAAAAATATGGGCACAGGGGTCTTTTTTGAGGCTTATGCTTCAAACAATGAACATACGTAGAGATAACTTAAAACCCCTGCACAGAAGTAGCGCATGGCAGCTCAGTGTCCAAGAGGGTTCCTCAATAATAGGAACAGGGACTGTCTCTGACATGAACACATGGAATGGCTCTTTGATTGCCTTCACCTGAGCAGGGAGCAGCCTTACCAGTCCACGGAGTAAGACAAAGATGCCAGCCCTGATGAGATCTGGGAGACTAGGGTCATGTGTAAAGGGAGGAGGACCTCCCTATCATTGGACTGGGGGAGGGGCAAAGGAAAAGAAGAGGGAAGGAGGGTGGGATTTGGGGAGGATGACTAAGGGGCTACAGCTGGGATACAAAGTAAATAAACTGTAATTAATAAAAATAAAATAAAAAATTACAAAAGGACTATATGAATAACATTGTGTATATTGGTTTATAAATAACTAAAGAATTATAATAGTTTAAAATGATACAGATCAATAATAAGACAGTCCAATTGAGGCATGCTCCTATAAGACATACAAACACCCACACATACAGAATAAATCATCCAATACTATACTCTATTAATAATCAATTTGCAGTGTTTTAGGAAGGCCCATTAGTACAGTAAAATAATATTAGGATGTCTTAATTATGTAAAAATATTTAAGTATTACTATTAAATATTAAATAATATTATTTTAACATTGATTCAAATTCTCTCGTTTGTGATATGAAATTCTATATTTTTATAGTATTCTGACCGAAATCAATTCCTAAATGAATGTACCTATATATAATTGGAGACCACATTCTCTTATTTTACATTTTACTGGGAAATTCTATCAATACTTATGGATTACTTTTGAGTCAGCAACTTCACAGAGGGCCTGGTAAATTCTTCAGATACAATGAGGGTGAGGTCTCATCCTCTCTCACTCATTGTAGCACAGATCCAGTGCTAAGTCTAATGAAAGGTTCAAAACAGAGACCAATGTTATTAATATATCTGTTGGTGAAGTTGAAAGAAATCTGTGGTTTTTCTTATTGTTGTTGTTGTCTGTGTTTTTGTGTAAAGCTACAGGCTTGCTCCTCAGTATCCATTCCCAGCTGCCCTTGAAGACTCTGTTCTTGTGGTCAAGTTCATTCTCCAGGACAAAATCCTTGACAAGTATGGAGTAGATCCTGCTTGCATTTGTATTTCTGGAGACAGTTCTGGGGCTACGTTGGCGGCAGCAGCAACTCAATTGGTATGTTGTGTTTCTCTAGAGGTTTGACTATTCTGCTCTTGGGCTGACATGCTGTCAACATGTCTGTTGACATTACTGCTCCTGTCTGTCAACAGGGTTTCTCCTTGGCTGCTTCTAGTATTTACATCTTACTCTAGCAGCTGCACTGGGCACCACAAGTATACTTCCTTTTACTCTTTGTGTATCTGACTCTACATCAGTGAAATAGCTAATGAAGTTCTATGAGGTGGCCTACAAGACAGATCTAAAAATAACTCAAGCATTTACCACATGGTATTTGATAGTCAGATCATGTCTTTGCCAGACCACGGCTTTTCTTGGTTGAGGAGACATTGTTTAGCCATATAACTGCAGCACTTTCCTTCCAACATTTGGGAGGCCAGAAAATTAAAGAAAGTCTCTTTGTATCTTTAGAGTTTAATACTACTCATATATTCCATGGTAATAGTTATAGTCTTCCCCAAAAGTGCAGTGTGACTCCACAAAGGCTGCTAGAAAAGGTAAAAAGCAAAGGTTTGTTATAGATCCACTTCTGTGCTCTGCAATTTCAAATGCTTCTGGTCAGGTGAGACCTGTTATCCATCTACATGGCCAACATTGAGACTTGTGAAACTGTTCCTAGGACAGCTCCTAAATCCTGGACTAACTCAGGCAACAGGAATTTTTCCATAATTGCTATTTTACAAAAGGCTCTCAGCTGGAGCTCCTGATCATCAGAGCTTCTCTGGGAGATTTGCTATGTGATATTCTGAAAGAGTTTCAATGCATTGGTATCCACTGTTTTAGGTGTCTAATAATAAAGAATAGTGTTATGAACATACAGGATGAAGTACAGACAGATATTCCTATCATAAAAGTTCAGTAGCTTTAGTACAATGGGTATTGAATGAGGAGACCAAGTGTCTCAGGACTGCATGGGAATAATAACATTTGGATCTCAGATATTGTTCTTCCCACTCTTTCCCTTTAAGGCTTCAAGTTTAAACAAACATGTTATTGTCCTGGCATTTCTTTCTGCTTCTTTTGATTGAAACATGTGGAAATTTGAAGTACTGCCAAAAGCCATTATTCTTGCTCATTTTTCTAAAATGTGAAAAATTTCATTTATAATGTTTTCTACTTTGTATAAATGTGTATACATAACTGCTGGTTTGTGCTCAGATGTGTGCTCAAGCATTCCTTATTTACTTTTGATCTCTTTTGAAGTAAGCTGATTCACTCACCTTAAGCTGCAGCATTCTGACAAACTAGGTGGCCAGTGGAATCCAGGGCTGCACTTGTCTCTACCTTACATTTGCTGACCTGTGTTCATAGCAGCTTTATTTATAATAGCCATAATCTGGAAACAACCTAGATGTCCCTCAACTAAGGAATGGATACAGAAATTGTGGGTGGGGGGCCAAGATGGCGGCACCGGGAGAACACCATGTCTGAGAAGCAGGACAACACACTCCATGCAGCGACCCGGAGACTGAACTCTGGGCCCTAATACAACAGTGATCGATCATGTTTCCCAGGTGAGGGGAGGCTCCCACAGCGTGGGAAGCAGTCGGGTCCACTCTTGGCTGCCCAGCCAGAACCCAGAAGAGAACCCAGCAATGCAGGCTTTGGGTCTCCAGGCTGGTGCCATCAGCCTGCTTGTCACGATCAATTTCCCAGGCTGATTAGTGGGCACAAGGGTGCCTGAGGCTGGGAGTACCAGCCCCAAAAAAACCCCACGGGGAAGGAAAGTTGCCAGACTGGTCACGGGCCACCTAGTCTTTCCCTGGAAGGTCTCTCTGACCACAGCGGGTACCTGCCGCCATCACAACTGAGCTCCAGCTGTGGGCGGGTAGCAGCTGCGCGCCCAGCTCAAAATCCCTACTCCCTCTTTGGAGGAGGCAGGAGGTGTCCAGCAGAATCTGCCACAGACCACATTGTCTGTACCCCAACCCGAGATTGGGGCTGAGAAAACCCAATCCTTTCGGGCACTCCCCCAAATGCCGCCAACACCCTGCCACAGCGGAGCAGAAGGATAAAGAGGCACACAGCGGCTTCACAGTGCCGGAACTCCAGTGCTGCTGGCCGCTCCTAGCAAACAAACTACAGCTCGGGATCTGGGACTGTGGTCATTCTACACGTCCTGAGATTCTCCTGGGTCCAGCGCAATAAGGTCTAGCAGCAAGTTCTATCACCGGCGCTCCCCCCCCCTGCACAGAAACGCTGCCAGCTCAGGGCGCAGGATCCGACTGAGAAGCCCCAACCCCTGCTGGCACTCCCCTGAGAGCACCTCCATAAGCTTGCCCTAGCAGAGGAGAAGGTCAGAGGGGAAGGACAGAGAGGCAGCCTGCCAAGGACACAGCACCCTCTCTCCAGTGGCCCCTAGCAGAGAAACCCAAGCTCTGGATCTGAGGACACTCAACCCTACCCGGTACTCTCTTGGGATCAGCAAACATAGATTCTACCTATAGGCTGCTTCTGGCAGAGAGATCTGGGCCCGGGATCTGGGATTGAGTATACTCACCCTAACTCTTTCCCGCGCCACCCAGGGACCAGTCAACATAACCCCTCCTGGCAGAGGGAAAGGACAAAGAGGCAGCACACAGGAAAGGTGGACACCAAGTCCTGCGGCCACAGTGTCACAGAGCTGACTGTTAGCCTACCTGTGCACTTCCGCAGCAGGACCAAAACAGAGAGTAATGAGCAAGGGGAACCCCTATGCATTCCAACTGGTCCTGGAAGAGAGTGAGTGAGCCTTCTAGGGAGAGATTGCCCCAGACCCAGGGCCTCTCCACAGAAGCAACCACGCGATATCCCTGCCACCCATACTCCTAGTGTGGGCATCAGAGGGATTCTTGGGATAGCGACCCCAACATTGAAGCCTCTGCCTTGCTGGTTCACCAGGGTAATCCAGGCAAACAATCCCTGGATCTCAGTCAGAACTGCATAATAGTGGCTTGCAGGCCACTGCAATAGTCAGAGAATCCTCGCATGCACACTGTGCCCCCTAAAAGCGCACGCGAATATCGCCAGCGTCACATTCTTTACTTAGGCAAAACTGAAAACACAGTGCACACTCCCAAACCAGTGAACCTCTCTCATCTTCCTGAAAAAACAGTCCAGAAAACAGAAAGAGAGGATCATAGCCCAAACTACAATCTCGAGGAACAACCAGTGAGGATTATAAATAACCAGATGGCTAGAGGCAGACGTAAGAACACTCCCAACAAAAATCAGGACACAATGACCTCACCAGCAACCCCACAAAACAATGGACATTTCAATTCACTAGATATACAAGAAAACGACCTCAAAACTATGTTTCTCCAGCTATTAGAGGCCCATAAAGATGAAATGAACAAAGCCCTCAGAGAAATAACCAAAGAAATTGAGACTAACCAAGAGGAAACAAATCATGCTCTCAGAGAAATGACCATGAAAATTGAGGAAACAGAGAAGAAATGCACAAAGCTCTCAAAGAAATGTCCACACAAATGAAGGCAAATAAAGAAGAAATAAACAAAGCTTTCATAGAAATACAGGCAATTATGCCCAAAGAAGTAGAGGCACAATTAGTGACACATAGAGAGGAAATGGACAAAAAAATAGAAGCTATCATTGAAAAGCAGGAGTCTACATTCAAACAGATGAAGGAAATGGTGCAAGACATGAAATCAGTATTAGAATCAATAAAGAAAACACAAATAGAGGAAAACCAGGAGCTGGAGAACATAGAGAAAAGATCAGGCACTACAAAGGTAAGCATCACCAACAGAATACAAGAGATGGAAGAAAGAATCTCAGGAGCCGAAGATACACTTGTGGAAATTGACACTTCTCTCAAAGAAAAAATAAAATCGGAAAAGTTCCAAACACAAAACATCCAAGAAATCAAGGACACCATGAAAAGACAAAACCTAAGAATAATAGGAGTAGAAGAAAAAGAAGACATCAGGCTCAAAGGTCCGGAAAATATCTTCAAGAAAATTATAGAAGAAAACTTTCCCAACTTAAAGAAGGAAATGGCCATAAACATACAAGAGGCCTACAGAACACCAAGTAGACTAGACCAGAAAAGAAATTCTTCACGTCACATCATAGTCAAAACACTGAACCTACAAAACAAAGAAAAAATTCTAAAAGCAGCAAGGGAAAAAGGCCAAGTAACATATGAAGGTAGACCTATCAGAATCACACCAGATTTCTCAACAGAAACTATGAAAGCCAGAAGGGTCTGGACAGAAATCATATAGTCTTTAAGGGACCACAGGTTCCAACCCAGACTACTATACCCAGCAAAACTTTCAATCAACATAGACGGAGAATTAAAGATATTCCAAGACAAAACCAAATTTAAACAATATCTACATAGTAACCCAGCTCTACAGAAGTTACTAGAAGGGAAACTCCAAACCAAAGAAAACAACTACATCGAAGGAAACAGAGGAAATAGATAACTACACAACAAAAAAACCAAAAGAAGACAAGCAATGTAACTCAATGACACCACCAACACTACATCTAAAGTAAGTAACAATTGTTGGTCACTAGTTTCTATCAACATCAACGGACTCAACTCCCCAATTAAAAGACACAGACTAACAGAATGGTTGCGGAAACAGGATCCATCATTCTCTTGCATCCAAGAAACACACCTATGCAACAAAGATAAACACTACCTCAGAGTAAAGGGCTGGAAAACTGTCTTTCAAGCAAATGGTTCCAGAAAACAAGCGGGAGTAGCCATCCTAATATCTAATAAAATACACTTTCAACCCAAGTTAATCAAAAAAGATAAGGACGGCCACTATATTCTCTCATCAAAGGAAAAATCCACCAAGAGGACATCACAATTTTGAATATCTATGCCCCAAATACAAGAGCACCTACATTCGTAAATGAAACAATATTAAAGCTTAAATCACACATTGATCCTAAAACCCTAATAGTGGGAGACTTCAACACTCTACTCTCACCAAGGGACAGATCAACAAGACAGAAAACAAATAGGGAAATAAAAACACTTACAGAGACCCTAAATCAAATGGACCTAATAGACGTCTACAGATCTTTTCCTCCAAACTCAAAAGAGTATACCTTCTTTTCAGCACTGCATGGAACCTTCTCCAAAATAGACCATATAGTTGGTCATAAAGAAAGCCTCAACAGATGCAAAAAGATTGAAATAATCCCTTGTATTCTATCTGACCACCATGGACTTAAGCTGGATCTCAACAACAACAGAAATAACAAACATGCTACACGCACATGGAAACTGAACAACCTGTTACTCAACGACAGCTGCGTTAAGGAAGAAATAAAGAAAGAAATTAAAGACTTCCTAGAACTCAATGAAAATGAAGGCACAACATACCCAAATTTATGGGACACATTGAAAGCAGTGCTCAGAGGAAAATTTATAGCACTAAGTGCCTGCAAGAAGAAATTCGTAACATCACATACAAACAACTTAATGGCCCAACTGAAAACCCTAGAAAAAAAAAGAAGCAGATACACCCAAGAGGAGCAGAAGGCTGGAAATAATCAAACTCAGGGCTGAAATCAATCAATTAGAAACATAAAACTATTCAAAGAATCAATGAAACAAAAAGCTGGTTCTTTGAGAAAATCAACAAGACAGACAAACCCTTAGCCAAACTAACTAAAAAGCAGAGAGAATCTATCCAAATCAACAAAATCAGAGATGAAAAGGGTGACATAACTACAGACACAGAGGAAATCCAAACAATCATTAGGTCATACTACAAAAGCCTATATGCCACAAAATTTGAAAATCTAAATGAAATGGATAATTTTCTTGATAGATTCCATCTTCCAACATTAAGTCACGATCAGGTAGAAAGACTGAACAGCCCTATATCCCCCAAGGAAATTGAAGCAGTCATTCACAGTCTCCCCTCCAAAAAAAGCCCTGGGCCAGATGGTTTCAGCGCGGAATTCTACCAGACCTTCAAAGAAGTGCTCACACCAATTCTCCTCAAACTATTCCACAAAATAGAAACAGAAAGTACATTACCAAACTCATTCTATGAAGCAACAGTCACCCTGATACCTAAACCACACAAAGACCCAACAAAAAAGAGAACTTCAGACCTATCTCTCTTATGAACATTGGCACAAAATTACTCAATAAAATACTTGCA